ACCGGAGGACACAGCGGGCACCGAATCATAGTGCTGCACGCTCTCAGGGAGCGCGCACAAGCAGGGGGTGGGGAGGCCATTTATAAACGGCCACTCGCCCCTGCACTACTCCCATCTGGCCATTTATATACTTGGGCTGGATGGGAAGTGGTTAAAGGAGAATTATAAAAAAAAAATTAGTTAAACCATGCTTTTTTTTACCACTACTATTCCTTTATACTGGCTTTTGAAATTTAAAAATGCAGCACTGTAAAAATTGGATGAAAAGTTTAACACTGCAAAACACTTTTTCAAAAACAAATAGTGAATTTTATATACAACTATATAGAGAGACCAAAATGAGGGACAAATGAGGAGGAAAGAGCGACTGAGGGACTTTGATCCAAATCAGGGCCAGTCCCTCGAAATCAGGGATAGTCAGAAGCTATGTTAGATCTCTGCTGTATGCAAGCAAGAGACCTGCCAAGTTCTGGAAAGTGGCAGTTCTCTTACAGTGAGTCTCACTTCCTGGTAACTGGCCATGTTTCGAGAGCTCCTTCACTTTTGTCAAACCTCAGCTTCATCATAGAACATAAGATAAGTAGGGAGAAATCACTGTGGTGTTGGCGAGGGTGTGGAGAAGTGGGGACAGTGTATCACATTTGGTGGGAATGTCCAAAAATTCAAGTATTCTGGAAAACAATAGTACACTTAATTGAGATCATAACTGAGATAAGTATTGGGCTAGACCCAGAGATATGTTTGCTGCATAGTTCAGAGCTATCAGCTAGCAAATATAAGAAATTAGGTTTAGGGTATTATATGAATGCTGCAAAAAGCCTGATCCCTAAGTATTGGAGGAAAACAGAAGTACCGAAAGTTGAGGATTGGATAGAAAGAGTGAACTGGATTAGGAGGATGGAGAAGCTCTATTATATGCAGGAAGATAAGACGGAGGTATACTATGCGAAATGGGAAAAATGGGAAAACTCTGGAGTAAACGTGAAATAGTGAATGAAGGAAGATATAGAGTGGATGGAAGGGTAGGATATTCTTGCTTTGGATAAGAGGAAGTGAAAGAATGCAGAGTGGGGGGAAGGGGGTAATGTTTTAAGAGGGAAAAAGAAAAGTAATAAGAAATAGTCATGTATATTTATTATGAATGTGATGAAAGTGTTTTGTTATGGCTATGAAAAATGAATAAATATTTAAATTAAAGGAAACCTCAGCTTCATGAAGACACTAATTAATGAAGTTATATATTAAATACATTTACCATCAATTATAATCAAGTGCAAGCGGTGTAAGTATCAAATTCCCAAATATCACCTAGTATTTCAGTCCCTGTATAGCAGAGCACAGGGTAGGAGAGGAAGAGTCAGAATCATTTCATGTGCTGATAGGAGGAGAAAACAGCGTGACAGAGAGATGAGCTCATCACTGTGCTGCCTCTCCTTTCAGCATCCAGTATGAGGATGATAAGGGGTCCATGACAACCAGGGCTGAAAGGAAGAGGGTAAATGATGCTGCCCATGTCTGAGAAAATCTTGTGGCATAAGAGAAGTACTGCTCTGGGGTCCAGATTGAATGTGAATATTTAAGCATCTTGTATTTATTTATTAGAGTTACTTATATATCACCGCCAATTTACACAGCGTTTTGTATATATATAGTACTTTCCCATCAGTCCCTAACCCTCAAGGGGTGTGCAATCTAAAGTCTCTAACTTCCATTCATACATACACATACTAGGGCCAATTTAGGCAGAATCCAATTAACCTACCAGCATGTCTTTGGAGTGTTGGAGGAAACCAGAGGAAACCCACGCAGGCAGAGGGAGAACATGCAAACTCTAGGCAGGTGATGCCGTGGTTTGGATTCAAACCAACGACCCTAGTGCTACCAGATGGAAGTGCTAACTATTTAGCCACTGTGCTGCCCTAATGCGACTGTTCTGTCTTTCTTAATTTTATAAAGTGTTGGCACTATACAAATTCTGTATAATATTAATAATGTGGATAAGCAGCTTTCTTCAATATTTTAATAAGCTATTCATTTTTTATTGTTCACTGGAGTTTTGATTTAATGAACAATGAGATGTAAATTAACTTTATTGAACAGCAACAATTTTTAATTTCTGATCTGAATTATATGCAGTTAGAACTTGGAGAAATGTTATTGTTTAATGTCAATGGTGTAGATTCCAATAATTAGAGAATAAACATAAAGTAATCAAATCTAGATAACTTAATATAGGATTGGCTGGAAGAAATGCAGAAAACAATCAATACATTTTGTAGACATACAGTGGTGCAAAAAAGTATTTAGTCAGCCACCAATTGTGCAAGTTCTCCCACCTAAAAAGATGAGAGAGGCCTGTAATTGGCATCATAGGTAGACCTCAACTATGAGAGACAAAATGAGAAAAAAAATCCAGACAATCACATTGGCTGATTTGGAAAGAATGTATTTGCAAATTATGGTGGAAAATAAGTATTTGGACAATATCAAAAGTTCATCTCAATACTTTGTTATATATCCTTTGTTGGCAATGACAGAGGTCAAACGTTTCCTGTAGGTCTTCACAAGGTTGGCACACACTGTTGCTGCTATGTTGGCCCATTTCTCCATGCAGATCTCTTCTAGAACAGTGATGTTTTGGGGCTGTCGCTGGGCAACACGGACTTTCAACTCCCTCCAAAGGTTTTCTATGGGGTTGAGATCTGGTGACTGGCTAGGCCACTCCAAGACCTTGAAATGCTTCTTACGAAGCCACTCCTTCGTTGCCCGGGTGGTATGTTTGGGATCATTGTCATGTTGAAAGACCCAGCCACGTTTCATCTTCAATGCCCTTGCTGATGGAAGGAGGTTTGCACTCAAAAGCTCACGATACATGGCCCCATTCATTCTGTCCTGTACATGGATCAGTCGTCCTGGTCCCTTTGCGGAGAAACAGCCCCAAAGCATGATGTTGCCACCCCCATGCTTCACAGTAGGTATGGTGTTCTTTGGATGCAACTCAGCATTCTCTCTCCTCCAAACACGACGAGCTGTGTTTCTACCAAACAGTTCTATTTTGGTTTCATCTGACCATATGACATTCTCCCAATCCTCTTCTGGATCATCCAAATGCTCTCTAGCAAACTTCAGATGGGCCCGGACATGTACTGGCTTAAGCAGGGGGACACGTCTGACACTGCATGAAATACAATTACCCTTTCTTTAAATTGTAAATGCAGATGGACAGCTGGATTTCTCTTGCACCCTGCTGGAATGGAGGGAGTGGGGAGTACTGAGCAGGACGTTTACATCCTTTTCAAAAGTTCCTACAGATTGAGCATGGTGCCGTCAATCTAAAAGGCTGTAGGCAGAGCTAGATGTGGCTGTTCACTGATATGGCTATCATTGGTGTTAACATCTAAGCAGCTACAGCAGCAGCAAAGCTAACAATGCTGAAGTGCTTTTAATGCAGAAGGAAGATTGTTGTCATCTAATCAACGAAAGTGTGTCTATTTGGACAGTTAAGCGTTATGAGCTAGGGATCCTTCTTGTCTTTGAATTGATTTGTTGTAGATCTGTGTGCTGCTGTTGATTTGCGCACTACTGATACGGCTTTCATTGGTACCAACCATTAGGCAGCTACAGCAGCAGCAAAGATGAAAATACTTCAGCATTTTTACTGCAGAAAGAAGATTGTTGTCATCCCATCAAAGAAAGCGCCTATCCAATGGTTTTACTCGCAACATTGATTTACAAGATGTTCTAGGAGGTACTTATAAAAGAGAGGCCAATCTTACTGGTATAGGCAGACTATGCATTATGAAAACTGGATCATTGTTGTCTTTAATTGAACTGATTTCTTGTCGATCTCTGTACTATGAGAAAGATGTATGAAAGGATATTGAAAAACGGTTCTCTGAAGGATATGAACAATTGAGTTATGTAAGTTGACTTATTAGTCCACAAGAGGTTAAAAAATGTTATATAGGTGCTCCACTTGCTTTTTTGTTATTGAGATTTGTAAAAGTGATATCCCATTAGTTGCAAAAGGTTACTGCCCCCACTACTACAGATATTGTTATCCCTATTGTTGCTGAAAAGAGATTGGAATTGTATCTCCACAGCATACAGTTAAAATTGATACATGTAACACCTACTCTTTGTCAGGGATTGATGTGTTTAAGTGACTCTTATGCTGGCCTTCTAAAACCTCTGTAGAAATTATTGTAGAAAGGTTAGTTCTATTTACAAGATTTTTTTTAACTAGCCTACATGCTCAGCTGTCGTCAGTTTTGTACGTAGTCATTTAAGCTAATTAAATCATATACTACATTTAGAATGCTACACGCGTAACCATGGAAACTATGTTTGCCTAGGCACAGTTTGGAATGTAGGTAGCTTTGCTACAGTTTATGTAAGGGAATTAAAATGTATTTTCTCTGATTTTTGTTATTACAGATTTAACTTTAGAGCTACCAGGAAATTCTGGGTTATATTTTTATGCTTTGTGAGTAATCTAAATTTTTATGAAATAATGTTACATCACCAAATTGCAACTTCCTCTGATCCACATATATACATCTTTATAAAACAAATGTTTTGATTTGGCTTCTGGAATTACCTGAAATCTGAGTGTTATGTAGGTGGTACTTAATAGCATCAACAGCACAATGAAGTCCAATACTAGTCCAAAAAGCAGGAAAGAGATGGGGCAGAGGAGCCTTATGATTCATTCCTTTACACATTATTTCTTTTCACTTGTTTCAATGAGGACAACAAGCCTTTTATGATGTATTATATACATTCAGTTTCAAGAGCAGTGGTGTATTTTGGTTTTGTGTTGCCCTGGGCAAGACTAAAATTGGGCACCCCCCGCATTCTAAATTTGCCCCACCCCTTCCTGTTTAAGATCCACCCCTTCATATGTAAACTCCACCCCTTCATCTTTAGGCTCCACCTCTTCCTATTAGAGCTCCACCTCTAAATGTATTCCATTATTGGTCTCATTTGGAGGAATAGTGCCCCATCATTGGTGTCAGTGGAAGAATAGTGCCCCATCACTGGTGCCAGTGGGAGAAATAGTGCCTCATCAATGGTTTCAGTGGGAGGAATGGTGCCCCATCATTGGTGTCAGTGTGGGAGAAATAATGCCCCATCATTGGTGTCAGTGTGGGAGGAATAGTGCCCCATCATTGGTGTCAGAGGGATCAGTAGTTCCCCTTCATTGGTGTCAGTGGGAGGAATCATGCCTCATAATTGGTGTCAGTGGGAGGATAGTGCCCCATCATTAGTGTCAGTGGGAGGAATAATGCCCCATCATTGCTGTCAGTGGAAGGAATAGGGCCCCATCATTGCTGTCAGTGGCAGGAATAGTGCCCCATCATTGGTGTCAGTGTGGGAAGAATAGTGCCCTATCATTGATGTCAGTGGGAGGAATAGTGCCCCATCATTGGTGTCAGTGGGAGGAATAATGCCCCATCATTGGTGTCAGTGGGAGGAACAGTGTCCCATCATTGGTGTCAGTGGGAGGAATAGTGCCCCATCATTAGTGTCAGTGAGAGGAATAATGCCCCATCATTGCTGTCAGTGGGAGGAATAGTGCCCCCATCATTGCTGTCAGTGGGAGGAATAGTGCCCCATCATTGGTGTCAATGCGGGAAGAATAGTGCCCTATCATTGGTGTCAGTGGGAGGAATAGTGCCCCATCATTTGTGTCAGTGGGAGGAATAGTGCCCCATCATTGGTGTCAGTGTGAGGAATAATGCTTCATCATTAGTGTCAGTGTGGGAGGAATAGTGCCCCATCATTGGTGTCAGTCCGAGGAATAGTGCCCCATCATTGGTGTCAATGAGAGGAATAGTGCTCCATCATTGGTGTTGCTCTGTGCAGATCCTGCCCACACGGCACAGACACCTTACAGATCAGCTGTCTTCCTTCTCTGACCGCTCTCCTCCGTTTCACCGGCTCCGGACTCTCTCTCACTCCGATCAGCTTCCTTGATCCTCGTGCTGCTGCTCAGCTACTCCTCTATGCCTGTGTGCTTTCCCTGAGCTACAGGTCTGGTGGCCAATCACTGGCGAGGAGGCAGAGCTTGCAGAGGGAGGGACAGGCTGCCATAGGCCGCCCAGTGATCCCGGGGGTGTGGCCAGATGAGAGGGTCGCCATGTCATATCGCCCACATTGCGATCCAGGATCATCCACCAGGGAAATGAAGACACCGGACACCCTCTCTACCCCTCCTTCGTGGACCGGATCGAAGCTCCTTTGTGGACTGGATCGAAGTGGGACACGGACACAGGTAAGACACATAACAGCAGCCCCTACCCTAAGTGTCACGTCTGTGGGAAAGGGGGGGGGGGCAACGCCGCCGCATCGTCCCTCTAAAAAGTGCCGCCCTAGGCAGACGCCTTGTTTGCCTTGCATCAAATATGCCCCTGATCAGGAGTCAAGCACAAAGATCAAGATACACATGCAGGGGCTAAAGACCAAATGTCAAGGAGACATTAACTACAGCCAGTTTAAAAAGTCCTTTTGGAACCAGCATTAGTGACAGCCGTGCGCTTGGATGAGCGAGTGCACAAGCGCGAGCCTATGCTCAAGTACATGCACATCTATCTGGCCTGTCATTGTTCTGTGCATGTTCATATTTGTGCGCCCTGAGTCTTCACCTGTACTGTGGGCAAACCTTTCCTGACATTGCTCCCTCCCTAAGGGCAGCCTCTTGATGCCAAACTGACTCCTCTTCCGTGGGTGACTGAGAGAAAATGCATGAATTAAGTCCGTAGCATGCACGTTATGTACAGGTTTCCAGGAATTTTCCTTTGGCCAATACCCTTTTCATTTTATCAGGTACTGTATCTGACCCCTCCTTCTTCTACAGTCCAAGACAGCCTTAAACTCCTCCTCTCCATAAATAATTAAATGTTCAAGAGGTCTCGACCTCCGATCAGGAAAGGGATCTGCAGGTTTAAATAATGATACATGACTCTAAAGGATTCTGGTAATGCTAATTCATATGAAACATCATTAATCTTTTGGCTTACCGGACATGGTCCCACAAACTTAGGTACCAACTCCCTCAAAGGACATGCCATCTTTAGGTTTGTTGTGGCAAGCCAAACCTGGTCTCCAGGCTGTAGGATCATTTCTCTCCTCTTCTTATCGAAAGCACTCTTGTTGTCCTCCTGGGCTTTTGTGACAGTCTCCTGTAACAAGTTATTATTAGTGTTGAAAAAACTCAGTGTTTTGAGCAGAAGGAACAGAAGATTCAGGAACAAGATCAGGTAGAAAAGTGGGGTGAAACCCATAGACTGCTTGGTAGCTGAATGACTGGAATTATTATATGCAAATTCTGCCAGTGGCAGGAGCAATACCCAGTCATCTTAGACAAATGAAGTGAAACACCAAATGTACTGCTCCAGAGTTTGGTTAGTCCGTTCTGTCTGCCCGTTGGTCTGTGGGTGGTAAGCTGAGGAAAAAGATTTTAAGGTTTCACATAGTGCCCTCCAGAATTTTTATGTAAATTGAACCCCTTGGTCTGAGACAATATTTGCAGTAACTGCCTGACAATTTCTTTAATAAAGACCCGAGCAGTTTCAATAGCAGATGATGTATTTCTCAGGGGAAAAAAATGGGCTATCTTTGGTAATCAATCTACCACCACAAAGATGGCAGTGCAACCTTCAGAAGGTGGGAGTTCTACTATAAAGTCCAAAGAGATCATCTTCCATGGTCTATCGGTACAGGTAAAGGTCTGAGCAACCCCCCAGGCTCTATTTGGAGTACTCTTTTTGGATACAGGTAGCACATGAGTTTACATAGGCCTTACAGTCTTTCGCCTTATATGGCCACCAAAATGTGCGTTGTGCTAACCCAACAGTCTTGTATACCCCCAAGGGATGGTCATGGCAGTATCCCAGGACAACGGTCAGTACTTTTTCCGGTACAAAATTTGCTCACCTTTCAACAGAAGTCCATTTTTGCCTTGTAACGTGACCCTGGGTGGACTGGGTGTTCCTGCCAATGCTTACTGTAAATGAGACAATAGTCTGGTCTGTGGTAGCAGACAGTTCCCTACTGGCAAAATAGTGTCCGGTATTGGGGTGTCTTTTGGATCCTCGAACATGTGTGAAACACATCGGATGTGGTGTTCTTGGACCCGGGCCTATAGGTGATATGGAAGGCAAATCTTGAGAAGAAGAGTGCCCATCGGGCCTAAAGTGGCTTGAGATGTTTTGAAGTCCTTAAATATTCAAGGTTCTTGTGATCCATATATATCAAAATCAGATGTGTGGCTCCTTCCATTAGATATCTCCATTCCTCCAGGGTGGCTTTATTTGCCAGAAGCTCTTGGTCACCCACATCATAATTCCTTTTAGCCAAAGAGAGTTTTCATGAAAAAAATGCAACTGGATGGATTAGCTCCTTGAGTCCCTGTCGTTGGGAAAGAACTGCCCCAACTGTGTTTTCCGATGCATCTACTTCCAGGATGTAAGTTAGAGTAGAATCTGGATGGCTCAGGACTGGAGCAGCTGTAAATAGTTCCTTCAAGGTTTCAAAAGCAGCCTGTGCTTCAGAAGTCCAGTGGAAATGGACATCTTGCTTGGTGAGTTGAGTGATGGGAGAGATTAATTCTGGCTATAGAGATAATTAGGTCGAGAAACGGAATGCTTTGTTGCTCAAAGTCACATTTGGCATAAAGTCCATGCTGACGAAGTCGTCCCAGGACACTTTTAACATGTCCCCGATGAGTCTCCAAGGATGTGGAAAATATCAGAAAATCATCCAGATAGAGTATGACAAAGATATCAAGACAGTCTCTGAAAATGTCATTGATAAAGTGCTGGAAGGTAGCTGGTACATTGCACAATCAGAAAAGGCATGACCAAATACTCAAAGTGGCCAAATCGGGTACGAAAGGCAGTCTTCCATTCATCCCCTTCCCAGATACGAACCAAGTTATAGGCTCCTCTTAAGTCCAGTTTCATAAAGATGGCTGCAGATTTGAGTCTTTGGAAAAGTTCGGGGACCAAAGGAAGGGGATAATGATTCATTACTGTAATTTTATTTAGGCCACGATAATCCACACAAGGTCGCAGGGAATGATCTTTCTTCTCCACAAAAAAATATTCCTACCCCAGCTGGAGATGTAGATGGATGAGTTAATCCCTTTTGGAGGTTTTCATCAATATATTCCTTTAACCCCCCTGGCAGTATTACCGAGTGTAGCTCGGGGTAAAGTTTTAGTACCACAAGCGGTAACCCCGAGCTACACTCGGGAATACCCTGCAGCGCTGATCCGGGATATGTTCTTCTCTTACCTTGTCCTGTGCTCCCGTGATGTCCCTCCTGCAGTGTCCCCGGCAATGTAATCCGGCAGATGCCGGCATCTGTCATCTGGGTTCCGTCCCCTGTGAGCATCGGGACGTACGCGGGACAGAACGGTGGGAAATTTGAAAATGTCAAAAATTAACATTCAATAAATACACTAAAATCACATAGTAAAACATTACTGTATCAAACCATTTCACATACATTTTGTCCCTAGTGCTTTGTCCTGTGCCCTGCCTGCATTTTTATTGTTCTTTCTGCCTGGAAACCGAGAAATGTCCATGGTGTCCAAAAAGAGTCCCTTCAGGTCAAAAGCAATTTTAGACCAGCTAGAGAACAGCGATAGTAAATTAGAACTGTAACAAACTAGCTCATCAGAGCTGGAAGCGGAGTTCTTCTTTTTCTTGTTCCTTCTGTTATTTGAGGTATTCCTGGATCATTCCTCACATCCCCCCTTTCCAGTCCTGAGAGACCAACGTTATCTCCTGACAGATGGTGGGGGTCAGCCCAGGAGAAACATTCCCTGGTGGGGCCAGCAGTCCTGGGAAGCATTGACCCAAAACTGTGTAAGCCTCCACATCATAAAACAGATAATAAGCTTCTCCCCCGGACTTGAAAGAGAGTTGAACATTCCTCGGGTCAACCGTATGTTTCATGTCATGTATTATGAAGCTATAGTTAATTCAGTTTCCCACTGACCACTCCCAAAACATGTAGTAAGAGCCCCCCTCCCCTTTGAGAGGGACTTTTAAAGAAGAGACAAGCCTGTGAGTGGGAACATACAGATCTCCTTAGCTGAACATCGTAACAAAAGGAGACTAAGGAACCTTTCTGCTCTGCATCTTGGATTTGCAAACCCAGGCATATGGACAAGTAACTTAACCCTGTAATTTCCTTGCTATTCTCTGTTTGCTGTGTCTTTGTATACAGTCAGGTCCATAAATATTGGGACATCGACACAATTCTAACATTTTTGGCTCTAGACACCACCACAATGGATTTGAAATGAAACGAACAAGATGTGCTTTAACTGCAGACTGTCAGCTTTAATTTGAGGGTATTTACATCCAAATCAGGTGAATGGTGTAGGAATTACAAACAATTTGCATATGTGCCTCCCACTTGTTAAGGGACCAAAAGTAATGGGACAGAATATTAATCATAAATCAAACTTTCACTTTTTAATACTTGGTTGCAAATCCTTTGCAGTCAATTGCAGCCTGACGTCTGGAACACATAGACATCACCAGATGCTGGGTTTCATCCCTGGTGATGCTCTGCCAGGCCTCTACTGCAACTGTCTTCATTTCCTGCTTGTTCTTGGGGCATTTTCCCTTCAGTTCTGTCTTCAGCAAGTGAAATGCATGCTCAATCGGATTCAGGGTCAGGTGATTGACTTGGCCATTGCATAACATTCCACTTCTTTCCCTTAAAAAACTCTTTGGTTGCTTTTGCAGTATGCTTTGGGTCATTGTCCATCTGCACTGTGAAGTGGCGTCCAATGAGTTCTGAAGCATTTGGCTAAATATGAGCAGATAATATTGCCTGAAACACTTCAGAATTCACCCTGCTGCTTTTGTCAGCAGTCACATTATCAGTGAATACAAGAGAACCAGTTCCATTGGCAGCCATACATGCCCACACGCCATGACACTACCACCACCATGCTTCACTGATGAGGTGGTATGCTTAGGATCATGAGCAGTTCCTTTCCTTCTCCATACTCTTCTCTTCCCTTCACTCTGGTACAAGTTGATCTTGGTCTCATCTGTCCATAGGATGTTGTTCCAGAACTGTGAAGGCTTTTTTAGATGTCGTTTGGCAAACTCTAATCTGGCCTTCCTGTTTTTGAGGCTCACCAATGGCTTACATCTTGTGGTAAACCCTCTGTATTCACTCTGGTGAAGTCTTCTCTTGATTGTTGACTTTGACACACATACACCTACCTCCTGGAGAGTGTTCTTGATCTGGCCAACTGTTGTGAAGGGTGTTTTCTTCACCAGGGAAAGAATTCTTCGGTCATCCATCACAGTTGTTTTCCGTGGTCTTCTGGGTCTTTTGGTGTTGCTAAGCTCACCGGTGCATTCCTTCTTTTTAAGAATGTTCCACACAGTTGTTTTTGGCCACGCCTAATGTTTTTTGCTATCTCTCTGATGGGTTTGTTTTGTTTTTTCAGCCTAATGATGGCTTGCTTCACTGATAGTGACAGCTCTTTGGATCTCATCTTGAGAGTTGACAGCAACAGATTCCAAATGCAAATAGCACACTTGAAATGAACTCTGGACCTTTTATCTGCTCATTGTAATTGGGATAATGAGGGAATAACACACACCTGGCCATGGAACAGTTGAGAAGCCAATTGTACCATTACTTTTGGTCCCTTAACAAGTGGGAGAAACATATGCAAGCTGTTGTAATTCCTACACCGTTCACCTGATTTGGATGTAAATACTATCAAATTAAAGCTGACAGTCTGCAGTTAAAGCACATTTTGTTCATTTCATTTCAAATCCATTGTGGTGGTGTATAGAGCCAAAAATATTAGAATTGTGTCGATGTCCCAATATTTATGGACCTGACTGTACATATATATATATTTTTGTGATATCTCTTTGTAAATATTTTATTGCACCTGTCTGACGCTTTTAGTAATAAATCTTTCTTTCTGAAAGTGTTAGACTGTTTTTAAGCGCTTACTTGCAATTCACGAATTCCTGCCTTTGAAGAGACGCTACTGTTTGTTATATCTCTGTATAGTAGGTCCGCGGGCCGTGCTATATAGATCAATATTTCAATCATTATAGTGTATATTTGATAACGGGAGTTTCCCAGTCTCCGACAAAAGTGGTGGTGGCAGTACAGGGTTAGTTGCGTAATTAGCCCGACCCAGTAACAAGCGCATTTAGGCTGCAGGCACCGATTGTAGTCCATTAGCTGGGCAATCGCTGTGCTGGGTGCGGCTGAGTGTGGTCTTGTTACGCGCGTCACACCGCGGTTTTAGATCGGCCGGTCCTTCAGTCACGGTTTGGTGAGAAGGTCTGGGGTCTGACGCTGTGGGCGTGACGTATTACTGATAGTCTCGGTCGTGCGATTGTCGCCTGTTGGTGGCGGCTGGGAACTTGGCGGTTGGTAGTTCATTTTTTCAGTGTTTTTCATTAACAAAGTCAGTGCGGATTGTTCCCAATTAGTGTGCTGTTACTTTGTGGAAACGTTTCGCCGAATGGTTCTCGAAATATTGGCGTTTTTGTGGTGAAATTGGTCCCATAGGAATGAATGGCGCAATGTTCAAAACTAGAGTGGGAGCTGACAAAAGCTAGAGTGTGAGCTGCAAAATCAGGACATGATTTCTAAACTGCCATCAGTCCCTTATTTTCAAGTCCACCTACACAAATCTTATATTAAAATGTTCAGCTATCCCTGCTGCCACTAAAAATGTCCACGGCTAAGCCATAGTCCTGATAGTTTTCACAATATGACTATTTGTTTGCAACTCACGCCGCCCATTGACATTCATTGAAACTCCACTCTAGCCACCTCAAATTTGAAGGGCAATTTCAAAACTGCGACTGTGCCTTAATTTTTAATATTTCAGAGACATACTATGCATCAAAATGTAGGTCTGGGTCTTCTGATTCTCACAATATAAAGCTCTTCATTGTAGGATTTATAATTCTTAAACTACAACCGTTTGAAAATGGCAACCGCCAGTGAAGTGAGCAAGTTGGAGCAGTTTGTTTTTTTAACCGCTCTTCTCTGCCCTTGCTGTAGAGTGAGTTGCCATAGGAACCCAGGTGTGTGAGCAGGCAAGAACACTTCACACAATTTCCCCAGAAATTGTAGCTTTTCTAGTGATTATTATATTATTATTTTTTATGGTTATTTATTAAATTATAATTTATGATTTCGTGTTTCAAGTTTATCCTACCCAAGATGTTTACTAGACTCTTGTTCGGACAGATTTCAGTGAATTATTCCTAAAAATTACAGGCCTACAATAAAAAAAAGTACATATTTCCATGCAAAAAATGTACCGCTTTAAGCACAGAAATATGGACATAATCATACCGCTAGGGAGGTTAATACTCCTAATTCTCGTTCAGATAAAGGAGAGATGCATCCGAAGGGATTTCGTTTCCAGGAAGTAGGTCAATGGGGAAATCGTAAGGTCTATGTTGAGGAAGGGTATCTGCCCCCGTATACTGAAGACATCCAAGTATTCATGGTAGGCTTGTGGGACTACTTGAGCAAGTTCAATATCTGAGTCCATGCATAGTAGCATGGTGGAGGGTGGAAAAGACACGGGTAGACAATGTTTCTTACAATAAGAAGATAGGAACTGAATTCCTCCGGACTTCCAATCGATCTGTGGGTTTATAAGCCTGTAACCATGATATGCCAAAGATGACAGGAAACAATGGTGAGGCAATTGCGTCTAAGCGCAGTAGTTCTTGATGATGGGTAGCTGTAGTAGTAAGGAGAGGTGGGGTCTCTTTAGTTACAAGGCCGGATTTGATACAGGACCCATCAGCCAAAAATACATTAAGTCCTTGTTCTTCCAGTTGCAAAGGGCTGTGTTGCTGAGCTGCGAAGGATAGGTCAATGAAGCAGCTACAAGCCCCAGAATCAAAATCGCGGTCACCTACACGACTCTTCCTGGAAGCTGGAAGAAGATAGGAATAGCCATATGAGTAGAGCTGGCGGATAATGGTGAATGGTTAGCCAAAGAGAGGGAGAAACACTTACACAGCTTGGCTGGGCAGGAATGCACATAATGACCAGTCTCTCCACAGTACAGACAGAGGTTGTTAAGACGGCGGCGCGTTGACATTCCTCTGGAGTCAGTGATGGGTGAATCAGGCCAAGCTGCATTAGCTCAGGTGCTTCTGATGTAACCGGATTGGGATTTCTAGGCAGTGGGCTGGATTGAACCAGAATCTTGGGTAGCATCCATGTAGGCCTAGATAATTGAGTGGATCTCTCCAACCTTCGTTCATGCAGGCGGTGATCAGTCTGGAGTGATGAGTGCTTCCAAAGAGCTTGGTACGCCAACTCAGGCAAGTTCATCCTTGAGGCCCTCAGAGAGACCCAAGTGGAACTGGTGATGCAGGGCGTCTTTGCTCCACTTAGTGTTTGCACTGCAATGTCTAAAGTCTGTAACGTAGTACTACTCGGCCACTCTGTGGCCCTGTTGGAGTGCATATAAAGCTGCCTCTGCTGTTGCGGTCCATTGTGGGTCGTCATATACTGTAAGTGGCCATAGCATATAAAAGAAGGTGGACATAGTGTTCAGGTGTGCATGCTTACTCTCTAGAAATCCATGAGCCCAAGCCTGTGGTTCATCCTGGAGCAGTGAAATAACGAACCCCACTTTTGTAGTCTCTGCGGAGAAGGTTCGTGGATGGAGGTTGAAATAGAGCTGACATGCGTTGCGGATAGCTCTAAGCTTGCTTCAGTCACCAGTGAACTCGAGGCTCAGGAGGTGGCATCATGACAGCAGCATTAGCAAAAGTCTCTGTTGGGACCGCAGCTGCGGCTGCAGCTGAAGGAGGTGCGAGAGAAGGGATAAATGTAGCCAGGGACTGTACACGTTCCTCCAGGTGCACATAACCTTCCTGCAGAGTCTTGACTGCTAAAGTCAGAGCTGCCAAGTGTTGGCAAATCTCGTCCAGGGGAGAAGGTCCTCTTGCAGGCTCAGACATGGCTGTTTGGTACTGTCACGTACCTGGATAGTGAGCCTGAAGTGAAGAGGCAGGCCTCCCGTACAGCTCTGGCTCGAGGGCTATTGATAGTGGGACAGCGGCCACAGGAGCACAGTGAGGTATGAGTGCCTGTGATCAGTCCAGTAGTTGGTGTTCCAGCAGTAGCCGGCAGGCAGATGAAGGAGCAGGGCAGACTGATGGCAGAGGGTAGGATACGGGCTCAGCCGTGCTGGATGGATCGCTGGGGAGCAAGGTGGAGGTTGTGAGGCCAGACGAGCCGGGTTGGTAGCAGTCAGTCAGATCAGGCATAGATGGCATGAGGTAGCGTAGCTGGGTTACAGGCCAGGTCAGCAGTAGAGGATAAATCGGACAAGAGCGGGAGACAGAAGAGCAATTCAAGACAAGCCAGAGGTCAGGGCAGGTAGCAGACAAGTGGAGGTCAGGAACAAGCTGGTTCAGTATCAGGAATCAAGCACAAGGATCAGGATACACATACAGGGGCTAAAGACCAAATGACAAGGAGACATTAACTGCAGCCAGTTTAAATAGTCCTTTTGGCGCTAGCATTAGTGACAGGCGTGTGCCTGGATGCGCTAGTGCGCATGTGCACACAACTGCGCGCGCCTATGCCCAAGTACATGCACATCTGTCCGGCCCGTCAATGTTCTGCGCAAATTTGTGCGCCCCAAGTCTTCACCTGTACTATGGGCAAGCCTTTCCTGACACATTCTTTATCAATTTATGTGATTTTATGTTGGCAACCTTATGTAATTCCATAAATGAATCAACCTAGGTCAGCGTATAATGCTTCCACCTATGTTATACCAATACCTTATGTATACCGATTACCTCGCATGTACTACGTTCATATTGCAGAACAAATCCTAAACAAGCAAGCATACACCACCTGAAGAAGAGAAGTTTTGAAACACATCGGGTGTTGTTTCATGCTTCTCATGTTTGGGCTCTTTCAATGTGTATTATTCATGTATCTCTTTCTCTCTGGTTGCCTCTTTAATATATTAATTGTGAAATTTTATCTTTGTTTTTTACATTATTTGTAATAAAATTTAATATATAGTAATGTAATAAATGTAAAAGTCCTCACCTCTAGAGGGCACCATTCTATCTCCATGTAATATTGGGATGTTTTCAGCCTCAGATTTCCCGTTCTATTGCATAGCTCCAGCTGTAAAACAATAAATGTATTATTTTATGCAACGTATTTACCTGCCTAAAAAATATTTCAACAACTAGGTTTCTATAGTCTTACTCATAATAAAGAATACAAATATATATATAAAAAAGATCATTTTCATATTCCCTTTAATCAGCTACAGAAACATGTGTCAACCAATCGTGTCAATTAGAGATGAGCAAATCGAACTTGGCGAAGTGGAATTCGTTTCGAATATTAGGAAAAATTAGATTCGCACCGAATCCGAATATTAGCAAACTTCGGATGCGCGAATCGAATTTTTCCCGATCGGCCGATTTTCATCCCTTCTACAGCCGGCAAAAAGTGTATAGCTCCGCTATTTCTGACAGTTCTCTGACAGTTCCTTCACATTTACAGCGGTTGAAACATTGTATCTATTTGTTTCCATTTAGGATACAGATGTTTTTATTCAGAAACAAATAGATACAATGTTTCAACCGCTGTAAATGTGAAGGAACTGTCAGAGAACTGTCAGAAATAGCGGAGCTCTCTGCAGATACACTTTTTGCTGTACTGGAATTCTTCTTCTTTTCATTCTTCTTCTTCTTTTCATTCTTCTTCTTCTTCTTCTTCTTTTCATTTTTCTTCTTCTTTTCATTCTTCTTCTTTTCATTCTTCTTCTTCTTTTCATTCTTCTTTTCATTCTTCTTCTTCTTCTTTTTATTCTTCTTCTTCTTCTTTTCATTCTTCTTCTTCTTTTCATTCTTCTTTTCATTCTTCTTCTTCTTCTTTTTATTCTTCTTCTTTTCATTCTTCTTCTTTTCATTCTTCTTTTCATTCTTCCCCTTCTTTTCATTCTTCTTCTCATTCTTCTTTTCATTCTTCTTCTTTCTTCTTTTCATTTTTTTTTCTTTTCATTCTTCTTCTTCTTCTTTTCATTCTTCTTTTCATTCTTCTTCTTCTTCTTTTCATTCTTCTTTTCATTCTTCTCATTCTTCTTTTCATTCTTCTTTTCATTCTTCTTCTCATTCTTCTTTTCATTCTTCTTCTTCTTCTTTTCATTCTTCTTCTTCTTCTTTTCATTCTTCTTCTTCTTCTTTTCATTCTTCTTTTAATTCTTCTTCTTCTTCTTTTCATTCTTCTTTTCATTCTTTTCTCATTCTTCTTTTCATTCTTCTTCTCATTCTTCTTCTTCTTTTTTCATTCTTCTTCTTCTTCTTTTCATTCTTCTTTTCATTCTTCTTCTTCTTCTTTTCATTCTTCTTCTTCTTCTTTTCATTCTTCTTCTCATTCTTCTTTTCATTCTTCTTCTTCTTCTTCTTTTTCATTCTTCTTCTTCTTTCTTTTCATTCTTCTTCTTCTTCTTTTCATTCTTCTTTTCATTCTTCTTCTTCTTCTTTTTCATTCTTCTTCTTCTTCTTTTCATTCTTCTTTTCATTCTTCTCATTCTTCTTTTCATTCTTCTTTTCATTCCTCTTCTTCTTCTTTTCATTCTTCTTCTTCTTCTTTTCATTCTACTTCTTCTTCTTCTTCTTCTTCGTCGTGCCCCGTGACTGCCCAAATGAGTGAAGTGTGCGGTGATTCTAAGATCGACGGCACTCATCTGCATGTCATACTGACTGACAGTATTATTTCTCTTCCCCAGCAGACTCCAAGGGCATTTAAATTAAAGGTACAGTGTTCTGCACTAATATAAAGGCTCTCTGAAGCCTAGAAACCCTTTTAATAAGTTAAATTCGCAGCGAATAAATTCGCATTTAATCACATTTCTTCCGCAAATTCGGTGAATTAGCCGAATCAAATTTTTGAATAATTCGCTCATCTCTAGTGTCAATACATAAAGGACAAGTTGGCTCTGGAATCCATGGGTAGGGGAAGATAGCAGTACACACAGTATGCTGGGTCTCACAGGTGCCTCAGAGTACAATTGCTTATTATCTTGGAATTGAGGAATAGATTTCAAAACATTAGAAGCATAACATGCATACAGACTAATAGTATGCGTATGTCAATTTAAATCTGATCGAGACAGAAGGTTAAAGTGGTATTAAACCCTAAAACAAAAATCTAATGTACTCCATGTTACCAATCCATAAATGTGCTGGATGCATTAGTTTTCTTTTTTAGGCTTTTTCCTTTATTTTCACCAACTAGTAACACACTTCCTGTCTTAGAATGGCTCCAGTCTATGGAAGAGCAGTGTGGCCATCCTTGAACAGCATCAATGCAAACCTAG